CATTGGGATTTGGTGACATTCGGATTCGGATTTGACATTGGGGCCGAGACATTGTGGGGGACTTTTTTGGATTGGGATCCACGGCATTTTGAGTTGACGACATGCTCCATATCTTACCCCCCCTTTTGTCTCTCCTCCCTCTTCCTCATCTGTGTATGGTATGTGGCGCCCCTCGTCTCTGTGTTCAGCGCCAGGCCTTTCACACTGTGATGATGATGATGATGATGATGGTGATGTTCAGTCAGTGTCACGACATTGATTGGGTCGGATTGTTGGTATTTCAGTCTTCCGCTGTGCTGTCATTGCTCCATCTTTGAGAGGTCGGTCCTTGGTTCTGGTCTGCGCCATTTGGCATGCGACAGACTGGCTGTAGCCGGTGCCTCCCCGTCTTGCTCCGGTGATGGGTGCTGCCGTTGCCCTGCTGCTTCCCAGAGGGGATCAGGAGGACAGGTAGGGCGTAAGGGCATAGCCTGGCCTTGCCGTACCAGTCTGGCCATGGTCGAGGGCAAGTAAAATACTGAACCGGGGCCACAGTTGTAGAGGACTGCCCTGCTCAACCGGAAGTTTTTCTTGCTGCCCTAGGTCGGGTGGAGAGACCAACCGACCTACGTTACACAGGAGCAGGCAGCAGCCCAGGCGGCTCGTCACCCCTGCCTAAAGTAGGGCATTTGGGCATTACGAAAAACATCCCGAAGGCGTACCGGTTGGGCAGGGCTGTCCTCTCCTCTTTTGCTTGGCGCAGAACGGCTACGCCCTTGTAGCCTGCCTGCCCTCCTGAGCCCCTTTTGGCCACACACAAAGTGAAAGACAGAAAAGGCAAATAGAGCATGGAAGTGCAACAGAAGGAAGAAGAACTAAGAGAGGTTTAAGTCAAGGTAGAGAATCTTGTGTAGAGGAAGTGGAAAAAGGAAAAGGAAATAGAAAGCAGAAGGTGAAAAGAGTCAGAAAGTACAGGAGAAGGAAGAAATAAGGAGGAAGTAGTAGGAAAGGTGGACGTCAAGGTAAAGAGCCTTGCAGTGAGGAAGCAGAGAAGCGAAAGTGAAACACACAGGGAAAGGTGGGGGTCCTTTGGAAGGGGAGATAAAAGGCCTCACTCCACTACACCACACTCTAAATGCATTTGGACTCGTTCTGGACCAGACACATTCAAAATGTTGGACTCCTCGAAACGTGCCTGGTCCCGAAAGGTCCAAATGCATGCCGAGTGTTGTGTAGTAGAGCGAAGCCCCAAAAGAAGGAACCGGAGAACACAGAAGATTCGCAGGTTATGGTGGGGGGTTGTTTGCCAGGTGTAGTAAGGTACCATCTTTGTCTTTTTCCATTTTTGGTCTGTAGCAGCATGAAGTACGGGGAAAAAGAAATGGAACGCATCCCCTGAATGGTATGCATGTAACTGCCGAGCGTTGTGTAGTAGAGCGAAGCCCCAAAAGAAGGAACCGGAGAGCACAGCAGATTCACAGATCATGTGTTCGGATCCTGATGGAATTAGACGAAGGCAGTAGATGGAGCTCCCCGACCAGTTGAACGGAACCATCCAAGAGCGGAACCGTGGAGGGGGTGTCTGCTCATATCAGCACCCCCTCTACGCCCCATCGCCAATGTTTGCGGGAGAAAGAAAAAAAAAGGAAAGAAAAGAAAAGAAAAAAAGAAGAAGGGCGTGTGTTTGCCAGGTGTAGTAAGGTACCATCCTGTGTAGCATCGTGTTGGCCTTCGGTGACTGAACCCAAATGTTCGTGACCAAACGCGAACACGCGTCAAAACCCTCCGAGCACGAACACAAAAATATTTAAAAAAGAAAAACAAATCTCAGAAAAATCTTAAAAAAAGTAATATGTAATGTATAATGACAATACAAACAACCGCTGCCTGGGATGCATGTCCAAATTCGTAACCAAACTCGAGTTAAAAATCAAAAACCAAAAACAAAAATTTGAATTTTATTTTATTTTAATTATTAAAAAAAAATGTTTGACTGAACATGTTCGGGAGACATTTAGCCGAACGCCCGAACATGTTCTGACGTTCGGAAAAGCCCCGAGCATGTTCTGTGTGCTACACATGATACTACCATCTTTCCATTATCGGCCTGTAGCAGCACAAAGTACAGGAAAATGGAATGGATGAGTGTATACCGGGAATAAGTACAAACGAGTGTGTATGAAGCCCTGAATGGCACACTTGTAACTGATTGTAAACAGATTGTGTTCGAAACCTGATGGAATTGGACGAAGGCAGTAATGTTAAGAAAAAAAGGAGGAATCAACGAGTAGGTAATTATCTCTGTAGCAGCATGAAGTACAGGAAAATGTAATGCATGAATGCTATCGGAATAAGAATGATGATGGAGTGTGTACCAATCCCATGTAGCTGAATTGATTAGATGTAACTGTTTGTAAACATTTCACAGGTTTGAGTGCTGAGGAATGAGATGGATCCAATAATTGTTAAGAAAAAAGGAGGAATGGATGAATATGTAACAGATTGTCTAATAGACTCAAGTGTACAAGCCGCTACAACGTGTCGCATTTGTGGCAATGGTTCTGCATTCCTTTTTCCCCAACTGTTTTTCTGGAATGAATTAGAAATGTCGGGCTCCAGTAGTTATGGAATCCAGATTGTGACAGGTGGGGCACTTTGCCAGATGGGGAGATGGTGACATGGTTCTGCATCACTTTCTCTGCATCTTGAAATGCATTTCGCCAAAGGTCAGCACTATCCATGCGAGTAAATCTGAAAGAAGTTCGAAAAAATAACCATTCATTTTCCATTTGCTATGTTCTCAACCTTTCGTTGTGGATGGGCCCTAACAATTGACGTTGCAGCCTGTTTGACAAATAGAGAGGGAACAAAAGGTATTAGTGTGCATCGTCTTGTTCCTAACTAGAATTTTCGGACTATACCCTTTCACACCTAATGAATGGTGAGCAAGCGAGTGAGATGGCGATCCACAGCACAACCACCTTTCGGCTAAGGTTAACTGTAGCATAAAGAAAAATGTTGTTACCACGAATACTGGTAAGAGCAGTACTCTTCTTCGGGTGAACTGGTGATTGGAGTGTTTTTCGGAATGAGGAAGAAACGCCGGACTCCGAGCGCAAGTATTTATGAAATGTGGGCGATTACGTATGGGTCACACTGTCCAGATGGTGACAGTTTCTTTTACGATGATGCTACATGATGATTCAAAATTCTAATCGAATTCATCATTGGGTGATACATTGTCGAACCATGTCTGACATGAGTTTGCGCATCTGAAAAAAAAAAAAACCATTACCATACAGCAAGGTGCTATAAGCTTTATGAGGTTGTGCTGCCAGTCTTTTCTCAACTTCTCAAGGAAGTCGACATACTTTTTCTGCTGCCAGTATTCTTTTGGCTCAGCTGCCTGGAGACGGGCAGCTTCATATTTCTCAACAGGATCTTAGTTTTTGACGTGGAACACCAGGTTATGAACTCTTAGGGGAAAACTGGGTTGGTGGTATGCATGGGCCAAGCGAGCACGGAACTAATCAGTTTATCGCCAGGTTTGCGCTTCCCAAGTATGGGCATAGCATCGATTTCCCAGTCTCGTCAAACAATCATGTCGTCAGATAGCTTTTCCGTGGGATAACAATGTCGAGATGATCATTGCAGCTAGTCCATCAATTCAAAGTCATTGAAGTTTATGATCCTTCATAACCACGTGTTAAGTCTCCAAGTCAACAGTATCCAGACTAGAACAGAGAGGGGGAAGAAAAGACAGATGGAAGGAGAAGAATATCGTAGCAATCATCAAGTCCCTCTTCTCCTCCACACTTCCCCACCTCTGCCACGTCAGCAATCTGTACACAGTATGACACGTGGATGATGTAAACACAGCCCCTCCCTCGCAGACGAGTGATCCTTCAGCAGTGAGCAGAATCAGCAGCAGCATCACATCAGGCGAGACCAGGTACGTACACACGACATCACATCTCGCCCACACTCTCTCTCTCCTCTCACTACCTCGCCGTCGTCTATGGTCGCAGCAATGGCTGCCTTCCTCCTCTGTCCTCTCCGTCTGGCTGGCGCCCAGGAAACAGCCTGGCGCCAGTGTCCTCCTCTCAAGTCTCACGTGCAGCATCGAAGCCGCAAGCACCTCGCAAGACTGAATGTCCAAGCAGTGGCGAGGTCAACATTATATAGTGTTGACTCGCGTTGTCCGGGGTCAGCTTCTGTCCATGTGAGGCCCCAGATCGTCCGAATGTCAATGGCTCAGATGCAATTTGTCCCAGTTTCGGTCTGGACGCCTTGAGGCCTGAATATTCTGGAACCTGCCTACCACTGTTAGATCATTCCCGATTGGCGGCCAGTATTTGTTGACTTTGACTTCACTGATCTGGGCCTGGGTCCACGAGTTGACTGTTGACATTTCGGTCAATTGTCGGTCTGGGCCTCTTCGTAGGGCCTGTTTGACCTTTCTTTCAGGGCCTTCCCGTTCGTGCTTGTCTGAGGGCGCAATCAGAGCCCAGCGGCTCAATTTTGGCACACATGTGACAGCAATTTTATCGTCTGGTAGAGGTGTGTAGCATAAGTTGTGTAGCGTCCAACTACACAACCCCTTGAAAGACGTGGAGGTGGATGAAACTTAAAACTCACGACAGAGGTGAGAGAGAAATTGATCAGATTAAGGCATTTGCTTTTTGTTTTTTCAACTTTTTTCAAGTTTTTTGTCCCGTCTTTTTGAGTTTTTTTTTAAAGGATGATGGACTTCAGATATTTTCATGGAACTGATAGGCCGGAGCCAGTTCAGAACGATTTTACTCTGCTAATCTGCTTGCATTTTAGATTTGAACGCTGAGCTCTGTATTTCAACAGTTCATAGGTGTACCAACTGAGCTAGGCCCATTGGTCGCATTTGCTTTTTGTTTCCCTATGCATTTAAAAAAATTACAACAGAAATTTGGTGGCTTTTTTTTCTCTTCTCACCTCTCGACTTCCTCACTTCCTCGTATTTGGAATGTGTTTCAAATGTATTGCAGAATGTGTATGCTTTATGTGACATAGGACTTCAAATTATGAGAGAGTTGGGAGTGAAAAAGCTGTGGAATACGGAGCCGTTCCCTGGAGAGATCCCATTGCCACAAACACTGTACAAAGTACCTCAAGATGCAGCCCAGCAACCACGAAAGGTGAACTCTCAACTTTCAGTAATGTATCCAACCTGACTTGGAGGCTACAGGGGGGGGG